AATAGAAAGTGAAGTAAATAGGTATTTTATTGTGATGGTTTGTCTTAATCTGGGTAGAAATTGGACTAATCTTTAATGACAACTGTGTTTGTCTCGTTGCTGTACTGGGAACTGGTTGTGGTGAGGGTTACATTACCTTATGAATAAATCTTGACATTTAGTGCATCCATAGCATAAGACCTTAAAATCTGCACAGGTTTCTTACTTTTATACAAACACAAAGGTGAAGATATGAAGCCTATTAGGGGCTGGAGTGGGAAAAGTCTATTTGTTGATGTGCAAGGATGGGGCTAGATTCTGCACTGGGTGTGTTTTACAGCAATTACTGTTTCTGTCTCTCCTAGAACCATGGGAATTTCTTTCTCTAAACTTTACCTAAAGAACCTGGTAAAGCCTATATGAATAAAACCTGTAAAAGCATGGGAGCACAGACTAAAACTATGACCTCTAGAATTTAGTCTACAAAAATCCATAAATAAATTTAAAAATCACCACTTGAGTTTCTTGTAATTTATGGTTCTAATGCCTTCTACTCTATATGAGCATATCTTAACTGTGACTCTGGTATTGTTCCTTTTTTTTTAAATGTTAGGGTATCAATTTAACCTACCACTTTCATTCACTGCCAGATGTCAGAAAATTTGTGAATATATATATTTTTTTCAATTTTTTTGCTGTAAGTATGAATACACCTGTTTACAAGGTCTATTCAGCTGCAGTTGACATTCAAGTCTCCATTGTATTTTTAAACTTTTCTTTAAATAAAAATCTCTTACCTTTGCAGATGATATGATCCTGTGTTTAAAGAAACCCATGGACTCCTCTCCCAAGTTACTTGAGCTGATCTGAAACTATGGCAAAATAGCAGAACATAAAATTAACCCACTAAAAGCAATAGCTTTTCTGAGTGTCAACAATGAGAAGAATGACACTGAAATCAGGAAAGCAATTCCTTTTTCTTAGCCTCAAAAAACCCCAAAATACCTAGTAATTAACTTAAGCAAAGTTGTGAAGTACTTCTATAATGGAAACTTTAAAAACGTGAAAAAAGGAAATTATAGCAGATTTATGGAAGTGAAAAACCTCCCATGTTACTGGATTGGAAGGATTAATATTGTGAAAATGGCAGTACTGCCAAAGCGATCTACAAATTCAATGCAATACCCATCAATATCCCATCAGCATTCATTAATGAAATAGAAAAATTTATCCAAAATTATATATGGAATAATGGCACACCCCAAATAGCAAACACAAACCTTATCAGGAAGAACAGTGCTGGAGGAATAAAAATACCAAACTTCAAACTCTATTATAACACCATAGTATTAAAAACAGTTTGGTACTGGCACATGAACAGGCTTGAGGACCAGCGGAATAGAATTGAATACCCAGAAAGGAAACCACAGAACTATGGTCACCTAATCTTTGATAAGGCAACCAAAACAAACAAACAGGATGGAAGAAGGACAGCCTATTCAAAAAATGGTACTGGCAGAATTGCTATAAACATGTAGAAAATTGAAGTTGGATCCTTATGTCACCCTGCACCTGATTCAACTCAAAATAGATAAAAATCTTAATATAAAATCAGATACCTAGAACATTTTACATTAAAAAATAGGGGGAATACCTGGCTCCTTGGCACAGGCTGAAACTTTCTCAATAAAGACCCAGACACAACAAATAAAAGAAAGGTTGGATAAATTTGATTGTATTAAACTGCAGAGTTTCTGCATGGCAAAAGATATAGCTGCAAGATAAATAGAAAGCCCACATATTGGGAGAAAATCTTCACTAGCTATACAACAGACAAAGCCCTCATATCTAATATATTTAGAACGCAAAAATGAAACCCTTCAAGACCAAATCATCAAAGAAACAATCACTCCATTAATAAGTATGCTAATGACTTAAAACAAGACTTCTCTGAAGAAGAAATAAGAATAGCCAGTAGGTACATGAAGAAATGTTCAACATCTCTGGCCATAACAGAAGTGCAAATCAAAACTATATTGAGATTCCACCTCACTTCAGTTAGAATGCCCATTATTAAGAAAACAAATAACAGATGCTGGCAGGAATGTAGCAAAAAGGGAACAATATTACACTGTTCGTGGGAATGTAAAATGGTTCAACCACTATGGAAAGCAGTACAGAGGTTCCACAAAAGACTAAACAAAGAAGCTGGGCATTGGTGGCTCATGCCTGTAATCCTGTAATCCTTGCTACTCAGAAAGCTGAGATCTAAGGATCTCAGTTCAAGCCAGCCTTGGCATGAAAGTCTCTGAGACTTTGTGTGTGTGTATGTGTGTGTGTGTGTGTGTGTGTGTGTGTGTGTGTATGTATGCTGGCCATGTTTTATTTGTGCTTTATGTTCAAACAGGATAACCGAAGATACAGACAGTATTCAGCAAAATAAAATAGATGGAACCAAATCTAAGACTGCACTGTCCCAAGCTATATTTAACCTAGTTTATCATGCTTGCTTGGGGATGAGGAATAATAGATCATTCAGCAAAAACAAGGAATGTCTACCGTGCACAACTGGGAATCTACAATAGTGATGTACCTTAATTATTTCCATGCACAAGTCTAACATTATAGGCTTTAAAAAATAAACACAATTAAGACTTCTAGGAACATTTTATGATAAAGTATTTCCTAAACATTCTTTGTAGATAGATCAAGCACCTCCACAAAACAAATTCCTATATACAGTGAGTACTAACTTAAATGAAATAGGTGGTGAAATAGGTGGCAGCTATAGGATGAGCTGACCTCATAGGTTCAGCTAGGTAGGCAACAAACCAGAGTGCCAGATGCCCAAAGCGTAGTTGCAAATAAAGGTTTTGAACGAGTTAGTTCTCATAGTTAAATACAGGAAATAGATTAATTTGCTAAAATAAGTAAGATGTGATGCACTAGGAACCCCAGAACACTTGAGACTATGGTGGCAATGCTGCTACACAGAGGGCACACCGTGGTTGCTGTGGTGTAACTTGTTCTGCCACGAACTTGTTACCTTGAGGTAGATAACACCTGTGTTCCAAACTCGGCCTGTGGAGGGGAAGACTTATAGCCATCTAATCGTCGATAAGGGAGCTAAAAAAATAGAATGGAACAAAGACAGCCTCTTCAGTAAATGGTGCTGGAAAAATTGGTTAACTACTTGTGGAAAACTAAAGCTAGATCCTTATATATCACCATGCACCAGAATCAACTCCAAATGGATCAAAGACCTCAGAGTCAAAGCAGCACTCTGAAAACATTACAGGGTGGAATAGGAGAAACCCTAGGTCTCCTTGGCTCAGGCTGAAATTTTCTTAATAGAGACACGGAAACACAACAAATCAAAGAAAGGTTGGACAAATGGGATTGCATGAAGTTGCAGAGCTTCTGCATGGCAAAGGACATAGCTAGCAAGGACAATAGAAACCCACGGATTGGGAGAAGATCTTTACTAGCCATACAACAAACAAGGGTCTCATATCTAAAATATACTTGGAACTCAAAAAATTAAATCCCCCAACAAAAAATCCTCAAAGAAACAACTGCCCAATAAATAAGTGGGCTAATGACTTAAAGAGAAACTGCTCTGAAGAAGAAAGAAGGATGGCCAATAGACACATGAAAAAATGCTCAACCTCCCTAGCCATAAAAGAAATGCAAATCAAAACAACATTGAGATACCACTCACTGCAGTTAGAATGGCTAAAATCAAGAACTCTAATAACAACAGATGCTGGAGGGGATGTGGACAGAAGGGAACCTTACTTCATTGTTGGTGGGAGTGTAAACTTGTTCAACCACTTTGGAAAGTAGTATGGAGGTTCCTCAAAAGACTCCACATAGAGCTCCCCTATGACCGAGCAATCCCACTTTTGGGCATTTACCCAAATGTTTACAAACAAGACCACACTGAAGCTACCAGCACAACTATGTTTATTGCAGCATTATTTACCATAGCTAAGATATGGAACCAACCCAGATGCCCCTCAGTAGATGAATGGATCAAGAAAATGTGGTGTATATATGCACAATGGAATTCTATGCCTCCATCAGAAAGAATGACATTGCCCCTTTGTTAGGAAATGGAAAGACTTGGAAAAATTATATTAAGTGAAGTAAGCCAAGCTCAAAGAGACATAGGTCCCATGGTTTCCCTTATTTGCAATATCTAGTATATGTATGAGTCAAGCAGAAAAGGTCAGATAAGGTGATGTTAGGAAAATGAACCCTAAGATATGTATTTTAAATGTTTTTTTTTCTTTCATGCATTTTTTCTAACGCAGTTATAAGATTATTTCTTTGTTGCTTTGTATGTCCCTCCCCCACAGTGTAATCCCTGCTTTCACTGTATTTGATGTCGGTATAATTAGTGGAGGGGAAAGGGAAAAACAAGTCGTTTAAATATGGATACAGGTGGACTTGTTGCAACAATGAAAAGTACAAGTAGTCATGTCCAAAACGAACTTTACAACTTGGGGGGGGAGGATGTGGGGGAAAGGGAGAATGGGAATGGATGAGAATGGTAAACAAAGGAGGAGGCTACAATGCTTGGTAAGAAATGTACTCACTATCTTGCCCATGTAATTGTAACCCCTCTGTAAAATATTTTCACAATAAAAAAATAAAAATTAAAAAGTAGGCATTTTCATGCAATTATGTACTGTCTCACTGTGTAAATTTCTAGACAAGGATTTTGTTTCCTGTAAGTCATCTCCTTGTAGTATGAGCGAATGCTGAGTGTTTACACACTTGTTCCTCTTCACTGCGTCAGCTTGCTCTATTTTGGGTAGGTAAACATCATGCCAGTTAAAATGAAAACTCTCACATGGAGAGGAAAACAAAAGATTGGGTTTTAAAAACCAAGAACAAATTAATTCCTTACTAAATGATACCTTCTGATTCAAGTTAAAAAATTACTTAAGCACTAGTAATAAAAAAGACAAAACACCTTTCATGAAAAACACTAAGAGAAATGTCTGCTGAATGTTTTATTTCAGGTGTTTTAGAATGTTTCTGTATGAGGATTTCAGAGCAGAAGGTGTTAAGGTAGTCTGGAATGACTTAAGTGTTGACCCCATGGGGATGGGAAACAGGAATGCTTATGGACTCCAGCTGCTTGTTAAAGCGGAATTCCTAGCTGTGGCTGTCTCTGAGTCTGCCTTCTTCCTCTGGCTCAGTTTCTAGCACTTCAGACTCTTCCTTCCTGCTAAAAATCTTATCCAAGTAAGTGGTGGACATGTTTTCCTTCTCCACTTTCTCATCCTTCCTGAACTCACAGCAGAATTAACTGATGAGGAAGCACTCCTCACCACTGTCCACAAACTGGCTGTCCCAGGACAACTGGTACCAGGCTCCCAGCTGTGCCAGGTTCGCCATCCCCTTCTCCTGCTTCTCCTGGCTCACTAATTTTGCTATCAGACTTTTCAATTCTAGCTGGGACACTAAGCTATTCAAGTCATGTAACTTATCAACAATATGAGTGGGCTCATGCTACGAGCTGAGCTGAATAGTTCCTGAAATGAAGTAATTGAAATCAAATCTCTGTTTCTGCTCCCTCTCCTCAGCACCCTGCTGGGAGGCTTCCTCTAACGCTATTAGGGCCTTCATCAATCCGTTCTGCTCTCTCCTATCCAATTTGTCTTTGCTTTGTTCTTTCCAGTTGGAAAGGTCAATAATAAGCTTGGGCTTGTAATAATGATTAACCTCACTCTCTCTCCACACTAAGTTGTCAAGGTACGATGGTGACCTCATTTTGTAGTTACAGGTATGGCTACACTCCAGGTCACAGTATTTGTTCTCATGGTAGTCTGGGTAGAGCAGGGCTCTGACGAGTAATTGGAGCCAAAAGCATCCTCCTCCAGATACTTCTCTTGATCTCCATCCCAGTATTTCCGAGGGTACACTTGCACCCCTTCTTCATCAGTGATTTCAAACAGAGCTCTCCAGTCAAGCTGAACTTCTTCAGTATCAAAATTGTTATGTATATGCCAACCATGCTCAGAGAACTGGCAATCATGGTACCTTTCCCAATTATAAATGTGATTGTGAGTTTCATCCACAAGAAAAATATCTCCACTTCATTTTTGATGTGAAAAAGATGGCTTGATATGGGCTCATCCATGGGAAAGGAATAAATATTCATGTAGGGATGAGAGAGCGCTTCCTCCGCAGTCAAGTAATCCATGGGGCTAAAGATCTGTGTCTGCTCCAAGAAACTCAGTGCTTCTTGGCTAATTCCTGGAAGCAGCTGGGTTATGTGTTTGTGTGGCTCAGTCATGTCTTTTCTAATGTAAACGGGAATTACACTGAGAATCTCCTGACAATTCTCCTCATGGACAACAGGAATAGATTCTAAAACCAGTTGGGTCTGTTCAGGTTCATGTGCACCTGAAAAGAAGGTTTTACCACTCAGCAATTCAGCATAGATGCAATGCAGCCTGAAGCCCACATGTCAATGGCTTTAGTATAATTGTTAGGAGAAAGTAAAAGACATGGAGATCTGTACCATTTAGTAACCAATCCTTCAGAAAGATGACTCTTATGGGAATAATGAGGATCCATGATCAGTGCCAGACCAAACTCATCTATATTCAACACCAGGTCTTCGGTATTGGTGAAAAGATTAGCTGGTTTGATATCTCTGTGCAGTATGTTTGTAGAATGAATGTACTTGAGCCCATAGCAGCTGGTACATGAATAGCCTGGCATGCTCCTCCAGGAGTTCAAGCCCCACCACCAACCAAAACAAAAAGAAAAAGACTAAACATAGAACTCCCCTATGATCCAGCAATCCCACTTCTGGGCATTTACCCAAACAATCACAAGGTCACACTTAAGTTACCAGCACAACTATGTCCATTGCAGCATTATTTACCATAGGTAAGATATAAAACCAACCCAGATACCCAGATGCCCCTCAGTAGATGAATGGATCAAGAAAATGTGGTGTATATACACAATGGAATTCTAGGCTCATCAGAAAGAATGACGTTGTACCATTTGTAAAGAAATGGAAAGACTTGGAAAAAACATTAAATGAAGTAAGTCAGACCCAAAGAAATACAGGCTGCCCGGTTTACCTCATTTGTAATAATTAGTATCTATCTAAGATAGTTCTAGCAGAGGATCACAATAGTCCAATAGCTATGTGTATATGACCATATAAAATGATGCTTATCAAAATGAACTACGAGATATGGAAATAAGAAGTTTTTGTGGTTTTCTTAGTATACTTCATGCAGTTATTTCTTTTATCTTTCAGTTCCCTCCTTTGTTTTACTCCCTGTTGTCACTGTTTTTTTTTTTTATTTCAGTACAATGTGTTGTATGTAAGTTTATCTGATTTGGGGATGGGAAGGGAAATCACAGAAATGGTGAGACAAAGGACAAAGAGTGAATCAATACAACAGTGATACTAATAAGACATTGTATTGGAAATGAATTTTACAACTTGTAAGGAGGGTTGCCAGGGGAAAATGAGGGAAGGCGTAACACTGTTAGAAAAGAAATGTACTCGTTATCTTATTGTAAGCTCTCTTCATCACCTTTACAGTAACTTTTTTTTTCTTCAGATGTGGTCAAATATGTGTGTGTGTGTGTGTGTGTGTGTGTGTATAATTGACCTGGCCATTTCAACAATTTTAAGCAGTATTAAGTATATTTATACAACCATGGAACCATCCCTACCATTCATCTCTAGAATAATTTTTATTTATGAACTGTAACTTGGAAGTAAACTGTTATTAAGTAAAACGGTATTCCCCATTCTTTTTCCCTACCAGCCCTGGACTTCACTATTCTAATTGTCTCAGATTAATTGAAATATAAAATGGTTCCCTTTAGGGCTTATATTAGTTGGCATATTATCTTCAAATTAATCAGTGTTATTCTATGTATTAATTTCCTTTTCCAGTTAAGGTTAAACTGTATTCCATTGTATAAAAAATAATATTTTGTTTATTAATCTGTCAACAGACACTGGGGTTGCTTACATATTTTGGCTATTGTAAATAATACTACCAATTTGATGAGTATTAATGTTGTTATGGCCCTGCTTTCAAATATTTGAGTACATACCTGGAAGTAGAATTTCTGGATTATATAATAGTATTTTATTTTCTTGAGGAACTGTTATAATGTTCTCAATAGTGGTTTTGACATCTTGCCAATGTTGAATATTAAAATTCATGAACAGGAATGTGTTTTTATTTATTTCTGTCTTTAATTTCTCACAATATTTATAGCTTTACCTCCTTGCTTCATTCGTACATATTTTTATTTGATGCTTTTATAAATAGAATTGTTCTCTAAATTTTTGTCTTACTCATTACTAACAAATACAAATGAAAGAAGTTTTTCATGTTGATGCTGTATCTGCTACTTTGCAGATTTTAATCATTTAAATAGTAAAATTTTGGTAGAATACTTACAGTTCTCTACATACAAGATAACATCTGTGGAAAAAAATTCTTTTCTACATTGTGATTTTTTATTCTTTTTCTGGCACCAATTTCCTAGAATTTCCACTAATATATTGAGTAGAAATTGTAAGGGCAGGCATCACTGTCTTGTTGATGGTATAAGAAGAGCTTTCAGTCTTTTACCAGTAGTAAGCCACTGGGTTTATTTTTCACATATGTATTTTAATGTGTGTGGCAGTTTGCTTTTTACTTTGTTTTTAGTTGATGGATATTAGTATTATGAATGAGTTTTAATTTCTCTTCTGTCTCCTTTTTGGTACTGGAAATTGAATTCAGGGTCTTGAACATGCTAAGCAAGCCCTCTACCAACTGAATGTTAATCTTCTTAAGTGCTTTTCCTGCATTTATTAAGTTGTCAATTCTCTACCCTCCTTCTGTTAATTTGATGTACTCTATCAATGTTTATGTATTCAACCATCCTTGAATTCCAGATATAAATCCTACTTGGTCATGACATATAATTATTTAAATATATTACTAATAAAATGTGTTGAGGATTTTCACATAATCATACATTCAATGTTGCTCTATAATTCCCATTCTTTGCTATTTTTTGGACTTAATTTAGAATCGCTGTAGAATGAGTTGAAAGTATTAAAAATATTCCTTCATTTTATTTTTTGTTTTGACAGAGTTGAGATTATTAGTCTTTTAAAGTTTTTGTAGAATTTACCAGTAAAACTTCCAAGTCCAGCAATTTATTTTGGCAAAAAAATTTTATTTGATGCAAATTCCTGCCAATTTATGGGAAGACTAGATTTTTATGTCTGTTATTCTGAGTTAGTCAGTTTGTTGTTCCTAGCAAGTTTTCCATGTGAACTAGGTCATCAATTTACTTGGTTTATAATTTTTCATAGTGTTCATAATTTTAAAATATTTTGTTAAAAACCAATGTGTATAACTGTACTGGATCCATTTTCATTTCTGTTATTACAATTTGTGTCTTTTCTAGCTTTAAGGTGGGCACATTTTATTCCAGGCTCTCCTTACTTTCCTGGTCTCAGCAGAGAAATCTGTAATTTTCTGATTGGTTTTCGTTTATATGTAATTAATCTTTTCTCCCTGAAATTTGAGGGTCCTTTCCTTATCTCTATTCTTCCTGTGCAGACTACATTGTAGCAGTGTGATGTTCTGTTCACTTCTGGCCTGTTTGGGGTTCTAAAGGCTTCTTGTATCTAAACAGGCCTATCATTTTGTGTGTTCGGGAAGTTCTCTGCTAGAATTCTGTTAACTGTATTTCCTATACCTTTAGCTTTCTTTTCTTGACCTTAAATTAGGTCTTCTGCTTTAGATTGCTCTTGTAAGGACATATCTTATTTCTTAGATTTGCTTTGAATAATTTTCTCTTCTTTCTCTATGGAATCTAGACTATCTTGAATTCTAGAGATTCTCCCTTCTGTATCACCTAATCTGCTGTTGATACTTTCTACATCTTTTTTTATTTATCTTCTTTCAAATTGGTCGTTTTTGATGGCTTCAATTTATTGAAGCTTTCTTTTAGATGTCTATGAAGTTTGTGATTAGTGCATATTTATGGTCTCTTACTACGTACCTAGATGCTGATAGTTATTTTGTAATTCTATTTTGTTTAGTTATTACAATATATTACACACACTGCCTTTTCTACTGTAAACTTAAATTTCGAGCACTATTTTAAAGTGTGCATAGCTTCTGTCATCTTCTGATTATAAGAAAGAACATTTTTCATTATTTCACTTTCAATGTTAGCTCTGAATCTAATAAGATTCTTACAGAAAACATAGTTGTATCATGGCTTTTAAATCTTATCTACAAATTTTATTGTAGACTTTAATTAGTGTACATTTAAACATGGATAGAAAGACCAGGATTACTATTTTCAATTCGCTATTTGTGTCTATACTTTATTGTTCTTAAATCCTACATCATTGTCTTCATGTTTAATTAAAGTTCTGCAATGAAATCTTTAAATTTTCTTCACATTTCCATTTGAGTGTATTCTATAATTATTTTCTTTGTAATTACCTTATGGATTGCATATATTTTAAAGTATTTAAACTTCAAATGTATGCCAAGATGGCTTCATTAACTAAAAGACTGCTACTATATTGTGTCTATTCACTCTTTTATGTTACCTTTGTCACAAAATAATATTATTTATATATTTTGTGTCCAAATTATGAATGAATAATTGTGGGGTTTATATTAGTCTTTTAAATCATGTTAAATACAAAAGTCTAGTTATTAGTTAAAGAATAATAATACTTCTGGGAGCTGGCAGCTCATGCCTGAAATTCATGCTTGCCAGGCAGAAAAGTTCTGGAGACATCTCTTATTTAACCTCAAAAAGCTCAAAGTGGAGCTGTTTCTAGAGGGGTAGAGCACTTGCCTTGAGCAATAATAGTTTGGAATAGTGCCCAGGTCTTGAGGTCAAACCCCAGAAACAACAAAAATATTACTGATAACGTTTATGATTTTTAATTTTTTAATATAGCTTTTAGTTACTGAAAATTTTAGATTGAAGGACTCTGTAAAATGTCTTGGAAGACCTGCCTTGAATAACAAGCCATGTGTTTGTCTGGTAATGTAATTTATTCCTAATTTTTTGCCAATATAAAAGTCTGTCTTCCAAAATGAAAACCACAAACTTAGTATGTTGACTAGGCTGGCCTAGAACATGAAATCAACCTTACATCCTCCTCCTGAGTAATGAGTATGCTATTGCATCTGGCCACTTATATTATTTAGTTCTAAGATTATCATTTAGTTATTATTCTAGAATATAAATCCCTTTGCCAAGAGTAAATTTTTGTTTCATGTGTGCTCTTAATTGCTATTTAATGCATTTTTGATTGTTGTCAAATACTTGTCGGAGAATTCTAACATCTTTGTCATCTTCGTGTTCAATTCTTTTTATTATCTTCTTCCATATGAGATATTCCTGACTTTTAACATTGTGATCGTTAATTGAATCCCGAATACTCTTCATATTAAGTTACGTTATGCCACATCTTATTTTCAAAAGTTACTTTTGTTAGGTTCTCGAATTTGAACAAAGACAAAACCAATTTATTACTCATTGCTAGGACAGATTTTTAGTTCCTTAACTTTTAATTCCTTGTCATCAGAGGGAGAGATAGGATGTCTTTGTTACTGCCCATCTAAAATTGATATTCTGTCTAGACACTAGGCTTTATTGCTTGTATCTACTAGCCATTCCCAGGAATACATTGCTACTGTTCTTCAAATGGGC